GGTGGCACGGCCAGAACGTTAGTTCAGAGCAGATTTGAAGAATAAAGCCGATAAATGCAAATTAAAGTTTTAAGGGAAATGCTTACGAAAATAGGCATATGCAGCTTTATTTACTAAACCATTAATTGTTGGGAGTTCGCCAGAGATCTGCATATTTTAGGTGAAAATAGACAAATTTTAAGCAACTTCCAAGGCAGCGATAATTCCAGCATGGCTGGATTTGATTTTTGAGGTATTCCAGTCTACCTGACAGAACGTTTGAACTTTTTATATGCACTTTACATAATTGTGTACTTTATCAGCAATATACATTTTTATGTCAGACAATGCATAAAAATAGCGGAAATGTATATTTTCTGCTAAAACTAGGGGTTTGGTTATTGAACATTGAGTAATGCTGTCGTGAGAACAGACATACAATATTTAGGCCCAGCCTTAAATTTGCTCTCTGTCTTCAAACATCAAGACGACAAGTTCAATATTTGTGAACGTAGGTTAAGCACTGGTTTTAACATTATGTAATACATTGATAAGATCTGGTTAGATTTTCAAGAGGTCTGAAGAAACACTTTCTAGGATAAAAAAAAAAAATACTGGCAAACATCCCCCCTCAGTGCAATATCACAGAAACATGTCATTCACTTCACATTCCTGTAACCAATAGCAACCAGGCAGGTATGTAAGAAAGGTAAACTTGTTTCAGGCGAGAGGACTAAGACGCCTTTAATATCACACAAGTGTCAATGGAAAACACAGTGTATGAATGGCTCTTAACATAATTACACTATTCTCAATACATGGCTGACCTGATCTGCCCAATGACATTACTGTATAATCACTGGCAGGGAGAAACAGCTTGGCTAGTGTCTGATTGGACAGCAAATACAGCTTTTTTTTTTCCAACTTAAATTTATGGAATACTGAAAATGCAAGGAGAATTGAATGCTAAAACCGGCAGTGAAAAATTAAAGATACAGTAACACCTTTCTTTCTTTCTTTCTTTCTCTCTCTCTCTCTCTCTCTCACTCTGTCTTTCTATTGATCTCTCTCTCTTTGTCTCTCTCTTTCTCTCTCACTCTGTCTTTCTATTGATCTCTCTCTCTTTCTCACTCTGTCTTTCTATTGATCTCTCTCTCTTTGTCTCTCTCTTTCTCTCTCACTCTGTCTTTCTATTGATCTCTCTCTCTCTTTCTCACTCTGTCTTTCTATTGATCTTTCTCTCTTTGTCTCTATATTCCTCTTTCTCTCTTTCGATTTCCCTGTCTTTTTATTGATTTTCTCTCTTTGTTGCTCTCTCTCTCTCTATGTCCCTCTCTTTAAACTCTCATAAACTCCCGGTGGCCAAGATTTTATAAGGTAAGTTCACGGTCAAGTTGAAAGAAGACGTTAAAGATGTAGGACCCATTGTTCAATGCTGCAGAATGTGTTGGTTCTTTAATATGTGTTAGTAACAATAATAATAATGAACAATTCTTTTTGGCAATGGCAATGGTTCCTGGGAGTTGTAGCTTGGATGTCCTACATCATTATATCAAATACAGCAGTATTTTTGCAGCAAAGTGGGAAAGAAACATTGCAGTTTGGGGATGAGAAGAAAAATAATTGTTGAAAAAAATATACTAAAAATAAATCAACTCACCATACCTACATGTAACCTAATTTTAATATTACTTCTAAACTTACCGGGTGTCTAGAGCGACCCTCTAAAACATGAAAGCAAAATGGATATCAAATAGATAAATAACATTTATAAGTTTTTTTGGAATAGAATAATGCAATAAAATTATAAAAAAATAAAGTTATCTAGATGTACAATGGTGAACAAAAGTGCCCATTACATCACAGTAACAGAGTTTTATTTACATCATGTATAAATCGCACCGGTATACACACAGTCCTAATTGTGACACGAAAGAGTTTTACTAGCGAACATCCATCAAATTCAGGTTTTCATGTACGCAAAGCTGAAATGTGTGGTGTAGAGACATTTCTGTTAGTTCTCTTATAGAAGTTGAAAGTCAGCCGTTTAATGGTTATTAGGTTAATGTTATACAGGATATGAGTAATGCTATGTGGTTATCAGGAGGGTGGTTTGAAGATTAGCACAGTACAAATATATATCCTGGAGATTTACAATAATGAAAACTGGCTAAGGCCACACTGGGACGTCCCAAGAGATTCCTTGTTATGTTTTGGTCTATTGTTACAAATATTTAGGAATGACTAAGTATACTGTGTTTCCACTCTCTGAGTCTAGCTACATAGAGCATTTCCTTGCTGGGATGATCTTTTTTACCATTATTTAAAGTTAAACAAAATGTTCTAACAGTCGATATATACATAAATGTTTAGACTATTTGACATTAGAATTAATTGGAAAAAAAACCTTGGATAAACTATAATGTAAAGCTATTTGCCACCACCAAGTCTTAGTGTTTATTACAGTGAAATATACTGTATATGTCTATAGGCATTAGAAATTAATTCATATTATTGAGATCATGTGGGGTTAACTTGGTAAAATAATCCCCATTTTTAGCTTGTTTTGCAGTGCATTGCCTTGTTTATGCACTATATGATTTGTGAGTAATCTGAGTTTGTAATATTTTATAATTAACATTAATACCTCAGGCTTAGCTCAATGGAGGCATTCAGTTTATCCTGCAAGAGGAGACCAGATGTAGCACAGGTGCTGGGGCCCCTGGTAAGTTGTCAAACCTTTCTAAAAATCTTTGACAGATTACTCTGGGAAAGGGCCAAGTTCACTCCTGGCACCATCATCACTACCAGGGCCAAATCTACCCTCTCTTCTGCTCCATGGCCAGTTTTCACAATGCACCCCAGCCCGTCATATATATGAAATCTGTATGTGATTGGAAGGATGAATGCGACTAGCTTGGTGTATGTGATTGGAAGGATGAATGCGACTAGTTTGGTGCATGTGATTGGATGGATATGACTAGTTTGTCGTTTGTGATTGGACAGATGAATTTGCCTAATTTGGCTCAGACTGCATGGTAATTATGACTATGTGGCTGGATGGCAATAAGTGCAAGGTGGGTGCTGGTAGGTGACATATTATGTGGCTAAGTGTGTAAATGTGATTGGGCGAGTGGGTATGATGGGACTATCTGAATGGGTGGATAGCGGAATATGATCAGTTCAGAGTATGTGCGAGGTTGGGAGGCTGAATGACAATGTGTACATAGGAGCATATTATTGTGTAGTGTTAGTGAGTGCACATGAATGACGTGTATTTGTCTAGAGTGCTAGTGTATGAACATAGTGGTGTGTTAGAGTACTAGTGTACGAATATAGTGGTGTGTTTTCATAGAGTTATAGAAAAATAAGTCCTGCGCTCAGACTCCCATTACTCTTGGGTGGCAGCAATGACTACAGGACACATCAGCCCCAATACATAAAATAAAAACCAAAGAATAAAGTTACCTGCACACTATCTCAAATCCCTATGCACATCTAGATAATCGGAGGTTTTTAGCATCAATCCAGTAACCATTAGGGGAAGCTCACCTGCTACATCAAGGTACAACCTCTCAGGTGAGTTCAATTCACAATTCACCGTGCTTCTTTAAGCTTCAGGTAAAAAACTCTAATGAGACAAAGATCGGTATTATTTTCTAAACCCCTACACATTTATTAACCCTTAATAGGGAACACATGGGCTGGGCGGCAGCATTATAACATGGATGTGTAATAAAAATATACAAAATGAAGTTCCGCGTTCAAACGCCCACTACCCCTGGGCAGCAGCAATAACTATAGTACATGTCAGCCTCACTATACCCCAATTTTCTAGCGAGACAGAGTGTTGCCACAGGCACTTGCAGCGAGCCTCTGTCTCTCTAGAAAGCATTGAATTTCAAAGGAGGGTTAGCTGTGGTGCCTGCACTACTGGAGATGCAGACCAAAGGCTCACTTGTGGTCTAGGGGCTAGGGAACTGTAAGATGGCTGGAGAGATCCTCTAATCTCTGCAATTGACCAATTTTGGAAACACAAGCAATTGTTCTCGAAAGTTTATTATTTCTATTTCATTAGTTCTTCAATTCCTGCTTTGAGATTTGCAACAGAAAGTGAAAGTTTCCGATTTGCAGGATTCACAATTACAAACTATATTTTCTTCTTATTTTTATGGTTTTGTAATAAAAAATATTACTATGATTGTCAGATATTATACACCCTGTAAATGTATCAACAGGCATATTTGCTGGAAAAATATTTCTTTTATAGTTTTATTATAATTATTTTTTTTATTATTATTATTTTATTTATTTTACAAGCAATCATCCATGTAGCTTACAGGGCATTAGGAATAAAAGTATAAAAACTTAATTTAATAAGTAACAAGTAAAAAAAAAAATTCTTAAATAATCAAAAGAGCGACTGATGAGTCAACACATATTAGGACTAAAAAGAAAAAAAAAAGAGTCAGATTGTCACACGAAAATCGGAGGGGAGTAAAAAAACAGAGGGAAGAGAAAAACGAAATAAAAGGCTAAAAGAGGAGCCAGTGTCGTGTCTCAGACAGTTGCAGTAACAATAAAGACACATAAACAGTTTGATAAAAGTCAAGTCTTCATTTTCCAATTTGAGATTTCACCCAAAATTTTGAATTACCCAGCAAATAATTCTTACAGCACACAAACCACACTGCAAAAAGTACACACCACAGCTTTTATATTTATTTTCTTAATTAACGTTTAGTGTGTACATAAAATGCCAGAATTACCTGCATGCAAAAAATGTGATAAAATACAAATGGGATGTCAAATAAAATGCCATCCCTAGTCCAAAGAGCTTACAATCTATGACAGGCAACCCTGAATATTCTCAATTCTTTTGCTGCTGCAATCCCTGGCTGAAATAGTGTTACCTGAGGCACAGTATTTGGGTTTGACTGAGGTATGGCTGTGAGCCCTGCCCAGATCTGCTGGCTCTCATTCCCTTGTACTGACTGAGCCCCTCCCTGTGACTGTGTAGACTTGACTCAAGTTATTATCAGTTTGCTGTAAGAGACAAGGCACCTGCTCTGCGGGCAGGAAGTGTTGGAGGGTGGGCAGGGCTAGGTTGGGCATTGCTGGGCTGGGCAGGGAAACCCTGGAGAAGACCCGAGAGCCCCCAGGCTGCAAAGCTTGGGCAGAAGGGGCGGAGTGTGATTGGCTGGGAAGCTCTTCATATAAGAGCCCAGTCTGCTGGAGGACAAGGGAGCGCTCAGTCTGCAGCAGGGGAAAGGGCACAGGGAGTGGGCAGCAGAATCCCCCCAAAAAATACACAGGCAGGAAATCAAAGGACACTGAGCCCTGAGACAGAGCCTTGGATTGAGTGGATATAACACTGGGAGTTATTTAATACTTGGAGTGGATTTAATACCAGTCTTTCACACATGGCTGCTGCAGGGAGAATGGCTGCCTGGCTTTACCTGTCCTGCTGTCTGATATGGGGCCCCTGGGTCACTGCCTTCAACCTGGATACTGACAATGTCATCTCCAAGAGCGGAGAACCCGGCAGCTTTTTCGGCTTTTCTCTGGCCATGCATCGGCAGCTGACCCCCGAGGATAAACGGCTGTAAGTCCCGAAACGTTTCCTTCTATAATGTGCCACCCGCAGGATTGGCTGCGAGGATCCTGCGGAATGGAACGTTCAGGATAAGGAGTATCTATTAATCGATACATTGATTTATTTAATATTATTTTTTCTTTAAATTAATTTTGGAGGGGACAGAAAGTGTGTCCAGGTGTGCTTTGCAAAAATTGGTTTGAGCGGAAGCACTGATAGAGATATAGAACTATAGACAGATATGTGAATAAATGCTTAAAACAAATAATTCAGATGAAGGGGTTGTTTGTAGATGTTAGAGGTTTTTACAGCTGCAGACACAGATTGGTGATAAGAGAGGTGACAGTCAGCCTCCTGGCCGTAACTTTACACAAAATAATGATTGACAGATCAAAACTGTAACGTATCCCATATGGTACAATAAATGTTTCAGAAAATATACATATTTATTATATAGTTAGAATATGAGGTATATATTTATATTAAATAAATACATACATACACCTACATATAGGCATTCCAAGTAATTTGTTAATGTTCCTCAGATCCTGTTGAAAGCTCTGTGTTGTTAACATCTGCCATAGATGACTGATTCTGTGGACTTTGCAACTGTGTATTTTTCAGGTAAATGATTAAACGACAAAAATAATAGATCCTTTTCATCTACTGATTGCCTAGATCGGGGATAGGCGACCGTCGGCACTCCAGATGTTGTGGACTATATCCCCCATAATGCTCTTACACCCATAATGCTGGCAAAGCATCATGGGAGCTGTAGTCCAGAACATCTGGAGTGCCGAAGGTTGCCTATTCCTGGTGTCGCTTGTCCGCTTACACTGTTGCAATCCTGCAGGGCTCTAGCTGCCGGCTTGGTAGGTCGGTCTCTAAGAGTTTCTGCAGCAGCTGAGGCTTTCAGAGAGAGGACTGCACTGTGTGTTTGACAAGCAGGAACAAAGCAGCCTCTATCATCATAGAAGCTTTGAACAGTTATGCTGAACTAGAAAAATGTGTGGTTGCCAGTCCATATGGACAAGTTGCCTTTTCTGGTGTTTCACAGCCCCTAGTTTAGGGCAACTGTCCCCATTCCCCCACCCCCATCATGTCACCCAGTGTAACCTTTCTGAGTCACCATCCTTCCCCAGCCCATGCATGCATTGTTCTCTCCTTGTATTGCCTTTTTTTTTAAGCCCCTCTGGTTGTTCCCAGGAGTGGCTGCCTCTGGCCCTCCAGGCTCCAGCTGTTGTTCTTTACATCTTTATTGTCACTCAATGTGTTGTGCTGGGTTGACTGTCTGATAATTAACACTGGTGGTTCTGTGGTCTGTGTGCAGGATACATTTTTTTTTAATGCTTACAGGAAGAAAGTAGTGTTGAGGAAGTTAAAGGATATTTTGGTCTACTCTCTAGTCTAGTGCAACAAAAATGATAGAAAGTGGAAGGCTTGTCCCCTCCCCCCCTTTATCTCTCTCTTCCCAGATAAGTCTGTAAAAGTGATGGCTGAGCATGATAGGATTGTTGTCTTACAGCAGATGTTTGCCTGAGTGAGGTTTTTGAGAGTTGACACAAAGTGGTGCAAAGAAAAATCTAAGAAAAAATATTTTAGATTATGGTAATACTTCTCGGACTATTGCACAAACTCCCTCTTATACCATTTCTTAGTACATCTCTCAATATGAAGCACAGCTGTTAGTGCATAGACACCAGGAGGCAAACAGTAACTTTCTTGTTGGAACCATCAGTTTTTTTCCCTTTTATGTGAAATAACAGGAAAAATATTTCTTGCTGCCCAGAACCTTAATTTAACAAGTGCTTTTTACTAGTCACACCCATTGAAGTAGCTCACAAGTGTTTCAGGAAATAAACTGCTCTGTATTCATTTCAAATAATGCTGAAACTCACCGGTGACAAAATGCATTGGAGTCTTTTGTACAACACTATGGTATAGGGTCCACGCATTATACATTAAATAATTATAATACTGGCTCAGAGATGTGGTGTGTTCATCAAGTCATTCTGCCAGGTTGTTTTTTTTTTAAATATGCAAAACTTTTTCCATTTAATATTCACAAATGACAATAGTAAAATACTGTATTATATTATTTATAGTTTGAGAACATACACTTTTTAGGATGTAGTTGTTGTGTTAGAATTGGTTCAGCCACATGTCTGTCTGCTGACATGTTCAGTGCATTGTAAGCTTGCAGCCAATTCATATTCTGAATGCTAAATATGTTTTCCATATACATATTGGTAGGGTCGGAATTTGTGACTATGGCATGATTCAGTGCTACTGTATTTCATTATAAATTATGATTCTCAAGAACTTTGCTATTTTTAAATAATTGATTTCTTGCATCCGTCTGGGTCTGCTTACGGAACATCTATCTGCATTTGGATCATTCTACCTAGGGAAGTTGAATGACAATAGCAACACTATTGCTATTTCACTTCTGTAAACATTCCAAAGGGATGGCACTGGGGTGGGGGTGGAATTTACACTGATTCTACAAATTTTTCAAAACCTTTTTTTAATGTCAAAAACTAAGAATTAACTGTCAGCGCTACGGAATCTGTTGGCGTCTTATAAATGCCATTAATAAAAAAAGCTGCTTAATTTGCACTGGTGCAGACTCTGTGTGAACCCCTGCAATTGGCCACTCCCAGCTTCTGCAATACCAAATGAATCCTTTGTCCCTAGTGTTTGACACAGTGTAGTGTCAGGGCCAGCAATTCCTTCTCTTGCCTACACATTACCATGTCCCACAAAAGAATTCCAGGGCATCAACAAAGCTCTCTGAATGGCCTGGCCTGGGATTAAAGCAGTCTATTGTTATTTGACAGGCTTAGTCAGTAATGAATAAACCCCTCACCCCAAAAAAGAGACAATTGGTTTGCATCATGCTCATCCAAGCCATAAACCGGTAAACGTTTTTCATCTCTGAGTTAGAGTTGATTTATATAAACATTTCATTTTATGATTTACAGACTACTGCTTTGCATTTTGCATAGACATGTAATGTACAAACATCAAGGAGTGTATTTAATAAATTGTGAGATTTGGTGTCGGTGAATTGGAGTCTAACATTGATCCATTGTACAGCGCTATGGAATCTGATGGCGCTATATAAATAATAAAATAATAATAATAATATTGTAAGATAAATTAGTTGAGAGTGGCAAAAACTATCTCCAACTTTTCTGTTTTGGGCTATGCTCAACAGTTGGGATGCCAACTGTATGTAACTCACTGTTTAAAGAATGCACCCCTCGATTTAAAACCAACTTCATCTGTGGGCGTTTATGGGAAAAGTCATCCTTGCAAATGACAGAAAGATCATCGGACACTGAACTTTATGGTGATCACCTCTTTTTTACCATTTGTTTGTCATCAAACACTTGTATACCTTGTTTATGCAGTTTATGGTAAAACACAATACGTCCATTATTTCTAAAGAAAAATATTTTCTATTTTAGTAAGGGTGCACTTAAAAGGACACTATAGTCACCCAGACCACTTCAGCTCAATGAAGTAGTCTGGGTGCCAGGTCCCTCAGGTTTTTACCCTTCAGATGCAAACATAGCATGTTTACATTTGGGGTTAAGCCAGCCTTTAGTGGCTGTCTTCCGGACAGCCACTATAGGCGCATCTGCCACGCTGGAGGCATATTATGCCTCCATCGCACAGAGCGTCCATAGGAAAGCATTGAGAAATGCTTTCCTATGGACACTTTGAATGTGCACACGGCACTTGCCGCGCATGCATTCGGCTCCGCTGACGTCGGCAGAGGGAGCTGCCATCGGCGGGGGAGGAGAGGTCACCAGCGTCAAGGGAGCCCGGCGCTGGAATAAGGTAAGTGGCTGAAAGGGTTTTAACCCCTTGAGCGCCACGGGAGGGGGACCCTGAGGGCACTATAGTGTCAGGAAAACCGCATTTGTTTTCCTGACACTATAGTGATCCTTTAATGTTCTAAAATGGAATGTCCAGTTCAAACAGGTGCCTTAGATGTAAGTAAAATATTGCTTTTCATTCACTAAACATTCAGTTGTGGTGAGTTGGCTAGCAACTTATAGACTTGAAAAATGTTGCCAAAAATTGGTGGTGAAATTGTTATTTTTTCCAATTTTGTTTTTCCAGCCTAAATTTTGTGAGTCATTAGTTGACTCAGTACAGCTCGCTGTTTCGTGAATAAATAGCTTGTATCGTCCTATATTCTTGTACTATGATCATCTTGTGCAACTAAATTGAAGATACAGACAGAAGGGAGATCCCATCTCTGATAATGCTCTGACAGTCTGCCATAGAAGACTTTAGTTCTTTGTAATGTAAATAGTCCTAATTATTATTATTATTATTATTATTTTATTATTTATATAGCGCCAGCACATTCCGTAGCGCTGTAATTGTTTTCTTTCCTGTTGCATAAAGAATGTTGGAACATGTAAGTTAGATAGCAATATGCATTATTGATTTCCAAAACATAGTGGAATTTGTAACCTAAAATGAGAACTAGACTTTCAGGTCAAAAGTAGCCAAATTTGAAAATTTTTCCAAATCAGCCGATTTTCTGCTCTGCAAAATTTAGCCTAAACTTTGTAATTTACTTGTCAATTCTCGGTTTAATGAATAAAAAACATTAGATGTATTAAGATACAGTGCATATTTCTTGTACACTTAAATATGTCAAACTAACGTAAACTCCAGTTTTCTGTATCTTTAAAAAAAATTTTGGGGAAGAAATCAGTTTTTTTTCTATTACCTTAATCAAGCTTACGTTTGTTGTTTATAGATTTGTGAGTTTTTGTTACATTTCTGAAAGGTCTTCCCAGCTCTTCAATGGTTAACATTTTTACATGCTGGAATGCGTGCCATCTATAATAAATCTCAAACCATTCCGTGCAAGCCTTGATTAATGGCCAGTTTCCCTAAGATGAATCCCTACCATTCAAACCCTCCATCAGAATTTGTAATGATCCTTTGAGCGTGGATTGGCATTGGCCTCTCCTTGTGTTAGGCCGCCCAGCTGTAAATTGCACAGCATTGGAATTCCTACTTCAATTTAGAGAGGTTGAATAGCCTGTTTTTAAAGACTGCTTGTTAGGAAAATATCTACACGTATCCCCAGCACTTAGTTATTTACAATCTAAAAGCTGTTAGACTCAATCAATACAGTAAAACATATGCGTCACCTATAAATATTTGGATGACAGGGTCCACTCAATTAAACAAAGAAATTCAGTCCATAATTAAATATAGTATGTTCGAAAATCAAATGTACAGCTTTAAATATAAAATATAGCATACTGCACAGTTATATGAGCATGCTGATAAATTCTTTTTTTTAGCAAGAAATACAATCTAGACATTAGCTTGCTCTTTGGCTAGCAAGATGCGAAGATTAAATTGCATCCTTTAGAATGTGTATTCAAGTAATTTTTGTGACAGGTGCATTCCACCATGATCTAAGCTTGTTTTAAGAGTAGCTTCTCTTTAATTGGTTTTGGACTTAACAAATCTTACCAAAAATGTTCTTAATCTACAGAATATAATAAACTTAAAGGACCAATATAGTGCCAGAAAAACAAACTTGTTTTCCTGGCACTATAGGATTTTTGGGTCCCCCCACCCTCTGAAGGGGGAGGAAGGGGTTAAAGGCTTACCTTTCTCCAGTGCCGGGCTGGGGACTCTCCTCCCTCTTCCGACGTCATCTGCCGAATGCGCATGCGTGTGCATTCAATCAATCCATAGGAAAGCATTTCTCAATGGGGGCTAAGGGGAGGACAATATTTCCCCCCCCCCCCATTTTCATTTAGGACCCCACCCACCGCTCAGGAGTGGGGCCCGGGGGGCAATAGGTCCCCTGTTCAGTTTAAGAGCCCCCACTTGTGCGGCACAAGTGGGGGCTCGGGAGGGTTTTTGGTTTGTTTTTTAAACAGTGATCTGCCACAGGCTGCTCACTGTTTACTATACATGCCCCTACTCACGGCATAGCGAGTAGTGGCAGAATTTACTAATACTAAGTAATCTTTACTTTAGACCAATTTAGGTATTTCAGCCTTTTGGTAGATAGCTCCCTAATACCGTGGGAATAAGGGAGTTATCTACTAAGCGGCTGCAAGATGCAGCCATGATTGGATCGGAATTTCATTCATTCGAATGAAATTTCGATCCGAACAAAGTCCCGAATTGCGTCCTAACATGAATGGAGACACTGTTCTTGTTCTGTTAGGATGAAATTCTGTACTTTTCCGGCGTTCTGTCTAAAAGACAGGACGTTCGGGAATACTGACAGGAAGCATCGCGAGATCACGGAGGAAAGGTAAGAATTGTGGGACAATTTCTCTGACC